AAAAAATTGTGGCTATTTGTCACATGAGGAAGTTGTCACAAGGCCTGATCTCAAAATGGTATACTACCCTTACTATCTCTGCCATATCTTTATATGGTAGAAATAATGGTTTCTCTTGCAGTGGTTTAGTATACTGGTTTCAAACATCCAGATCCAAAGTGTTTTGAGTGTGAATTCTATCCTTTAATGTGATTTTGTACCCAGAATATATAACTTCCAAAAATAACCACACAGTGAGCAATATTAACTGAAGTAAACTATGTGACAACTAACCCCGATCTGCCCCACATGATAATCAGTTTAAATCAGTAGATTAATATAATATTAACCTTACCTTCCATGTTATATTTAACAAGTATGCATTTTAATTTAAAAAATATTTAGTACGAAGCCAGGCAAACTAGTGCAGAATGCAGATCCAGTACAACTTTAGGTGTGTTATTTATACCTACAGCCAAATACGTTTTAGTACATTTTGATAACCACTAGGTGGAGATATCTCATTTCTGGCCGGATCTTTTCTACAATTGGAATAACTGTTCTTATGGGCTTATGGTCTAAATAAATAAGTATTATTTTATGAAACGTTTGTATTTTATTTAAGCCTTTAACACAATTCAATAAACTGCAGATTTCCCTAAATATAGCTTTCAGTGTTATTTTCCCTTACAGGTAGGGCTATGGTTCGTTTATTTATTTCAGAGTTTTGAAGTATATCTATGCAAAGCTGTGATCTCATGGACCACTTGAAGTAATTCCATGTAGATGTTATGAAACGCTACATTGAATCTATTTGGTTCTAACTGGTTCTTAAACAAATTTGCAGAAGAGAGTTGTGCCTACCCTTACCAAAAAGTAGTATACTTCAAGTTTATTTTATTAAGTATACTTAATATTCAAGTATATTTGTAAGTATACTTTATGCAGCAAGTATACAAATATCAGTGTACTATTTCAATACTCCTTGGGACTAAATTGGCTCACTTTCTAGTATATAAAAGTATACTTTAAGTACACAACTAGTTTACAACAATATTTTTAGCGTGTACTGCAACTATAGTAAAAGTGAACTTGAATACTGATAGTTTACTAATTAAATACTTGTAGTAGCATTTTTAGTACACTTTGAAGTATAGTCTTAGTAAGTTACTAGTTTAGTAGTTTTATACTGCAAGTATACTGTTAAGTTTTCTTTAAGTGAACTTTACATCATACTTTAAGTATACTACTATGTCCCTATTTAGGTATTAATTTGTATATATTTTGTCATATAAATATCTGAACATACAAAACACCAAAAGAAAGAACAGGGTATCTGCTTGTAAACAAAACATTTTATTCTAGCTTCATGCATTCTTTTTTTAAACACTTGAATGTGGGTAAGTTTCATAAAAAAATTTTTTTTAAAAGAAATAACATTTTGAACAAAAAAGCTGAAAAAAAGACTATGAATTGGATTCAGAACGATAATCAAAACGTAGATAGAGTCGTCATTATTACCTCTTCATGGGTTGACATTACATCAACTTTACACAGTTTTGATGCTGTTTTATGTCTGATGATCGTGTTAGATTACATGTGGAAGCATCTGTTGTTTCGGTTTCTTCTTTACTTGTGTTTTTGGAAATTCTGTACAGAAAATGTGTACTAACGCCTCCTACAGTATAACAATGAAAACACGGATTCTAGGAACACAAGTATAGCTCAAATATATTTAGACTTTTTCTAAGTAGGCTATAAGTCAAGTATACTTAAATGTCATTTTAAGTATATTTCTGAGAAGTGCATAAAGCCCATTTCTGAGAAGTACATCCTATTTTTTAGTTTAAAAGAAGTAGCTATACTAATAGCACACTTGAATAAACTTCTTTTTCGTAAGGGTACTTCCCATAGGGCCTACTACCCTTGGGTGATTGTTAGTAGTCTGCCGTTTATTTGGAAAATACGCTTAGGAGAAAATTGTTTTATCTCTTTTAATTAATAAAATCCCACAAATAAAAACAAAATGGCATTTATAGCCAATAGCATGTTTTAAAACCAGTGTTTATGGATTCAGAAATTGCTTTGGAGATGTTTTAAAAAATTTAAATTTTTATAAAAATCTCTGGACTATAAAATAATCAACAAGTCCTTTCAGCATCTATCCAAACACCTTCATCAGGTAAATATATCCACAAAAGTCACATGATCAACAGACTACTAGGTTAAACGTGTAATATATGCCAGAGTAAATGGTGTTACTGCTTTGGAAAGAACATTGTATACATACATGCTCGCAACAAGACACAAGCAAGTCCGTTCAATTTATTGCTTAATGCACTCCCATAAAATGTAAAGTGTACGCTGTTATTCAAATGTGCTGGTATTATAGTCTATTTTTGATATAATTGTTAACAGTGTATTTTCTGTAAGCCTATTATCTACATTTAAAACATACTGTATTTAGACAAAACTGTGCAAAATTGTAACATTTGTATCTAATGTTTTGAGTAAACAATATTTTTATTTCTTATTACTTAATTTTTTCATGAACTCAAATGAATCCTGTATTACAGGTGGGTTTGAGCTGCTATTGTCATTAATAAAAGTGTTACATTCAATTAATATTGTCTTAAATTAATTTAGAGAGAGAGAGAGAGAGTGTGTGTGTGTGTGTGGGGAATTTTTTTTGAAACAGTCATGTTTTTTTTTTTTTTTAACGAAGTTAAATTTACCCTTCTGCTGCCATGTTTTCTACAATAGGGCAATCCACTGCTAAAAATAGCATCATACAACTGCATTGTGGTATGTGTTTGCCATTTTAGAAAGGACAACTCTTCATCAACTCCCACCAGGTGTCAAAATGTTAGCAGCATAAAGGTGCACTACTATAGGGTTCATATTTAAAATAATGGTTGATGTCTATAATGGTGTATAGCTACAGTATAAACTAGTTGCTTATAAGTAATGTGAAAATATTTAGGTATGTTATGTTAGTTTGTGAATGAACATTGAAGCTGCTCATTGTTAGCATATTTATAAACTGTGCTGGACAGGTTATGATTTTGAAGTGCACACACATTATGTGCATTTGGGGTCCTTAACAGTGGGGGATGAAAAGTGATTGTGAACAGAAAGTGTGTAAGTGAGACGAAGGGTGAACAGTAAAGTGAAAGAAGACCCTTGATGACTTGAAAAGAAAGAGAATTATCAGAATGAACTATAGACAATTAAACTAATTTTACATGCTTTAGGAAAATATATAAATACTGGAACAAAGACAATGTTCATGTATAGTCAAATATGCCAATAACTATTTTGTTTGGCTTTGTTATTTTACTCTTGGCCATCTTTGTGACTTTTTAAGGGGGAATTTCTTCTCACATGAGCTCAAAAGATACAAGGTGTTTAGTCATATCATGGTTCTCTTACAATCATAATGTTTGACGTGAACTAATGCTAGAGCTATAAGCGGAAATAGCACATAGGCTGTTTCTACTTGTGGTTTTATGACTGAAACCTCTCCGGTTTAACTTACTCAACTGAAAGACAGGAAAAAAAATTAGTTTGCTGTGATGGCGTTTAGGCTGTTCCTTTCATTTGCTCTTCTTACTTTCAACACAGGTATACAATCTAATCATTTTACTATGATAAATTAATCTGTGATTAAATGTTTTTCTTCCCGTGGCAATAAGTAAAGTGAAAGGCAGTTTTAAAATTTGCTTTAAAGTTAAATGTTTTATTCTTAACATTGTCTTTTTGACATATTGATCAAGTCTTTTGTTCAAGGAATTGTTTTGTTTTCACTTCAGAAATGTAATGTTGCCAGGATTTTGCAAGATATCATTATGATTGATTTGTTACAATAAAATCCTGTATTCAGTATTTTGTCAAAAAAGGATGACTTAAGGTAAAATAACCACATTACACTGCACTGTGGGAATACCCATCAGTCCTTGTATATATGTATATTTTGATGTCATTATTATGGTGCTTAGTGTTACAGAGAATTTGAACCTTATTTGGTCTTAATTAAATGTCACCCAGGGTTTAACTGACTTTTTTATTTTGTAATTCATGATTAATCGCATCCTAAATAAAATTGTTAATCAAGGTACTTCTCCCTTCAGATGAGGAAACAGAAAACTATTGAGAAAACACTGAACTGAAATGCCTGTTGGATTAAAATTCAGTATGGGAAAATTGATTTTCTGATGTTCTTCTTTCATGTCCAGAAAGACAACAAGCTAAAGAAGCATTTTTGCATCTCCTTTGGCTCATTCCAATTTGCCTATTCACAAGTGGTTTGTTGGTTTTGGTCAGCAAGAAAAAAAAAGGTATATCATCATAATGAATTTCATATTAACTGCAACTATAGTGAACATATCAAGAGTATCTCTATGAAAATAAAACTTCACATTTTTATGTCAAATTTTATAATATGGTCAGATAATTTTGGATATTTGTGCTATGATCAGCTGAACTTTTGCGTAGCCCTTTAAAGCATTTCAGCAGTAAGAAAAAAAAATCCAAGCTGTTGGCTAGTTCTAATGTGACATTATTTTCAAACTAGAACAGAAGCTTAAACGCATCATTTTAACTGGATTTGGATCCTGGATTCATATCCTGAATTCATGGCATACAAAAGTAGTTCAACACAAGAGGGTCTTTTGCAGTGTGGCAAATGTATTTTAAGCTCATAAAGCTTTATGACCTTAAAATACATTTGCCATGCATAATAAATGCATAATGCATAAATGTAAAAGAAATAGCACATTGCTGTTCACAATGGTTCGAGGCAGAGTTCTACATGTCACAGGGCTTGTCAGCTTTTCGTATTAACCACCCAACTTTACCATTTCTGCTTTTAAACCCTCTGGCTCACTAGGCTTCCTTTAGCAATTCATTTACTGTAATTATGCTTCCAGCTTATTTCTCAGTACTGCCACAGGCGATGATTATAGACATACAGTATGGTTGAATTTAACACTGAATATTCCTTTAGAATGTTCCAGATGGAAATAAGAAATATTTAATCGTTTTTGGTATGTAAAAGATAGCTATATCTTGGAAATGTTTTTTTTAAAAGCGTTTTAGAGCAAAAAGTTGATGATATTTGTTCTGTGACTATACACTGAAAATTGTTGTCTTGAAAATTTATGTTCTGTTTTAAACCTCATAGGTGCCAAGCAGAAAGAACAAACTATCTATGCAGAAGTTGACGTAAGTTTCATACTACTATTCTTCATTAACCATTGATACTAATTAAATGGTATCACACTATCTGTTGTCTTTTAAAACAAGCATGCAACATGCTTTGTAACTCTAGGTACAGTTTTTGGTAATAAATCATACAATCTCCGAAGAAAAATTACAAAAGCTGTTACTGGGGCAGTACCCTTTCAAAAGATACTAATATGTACTATTTAGGGACTAATATGAACCTTAAAGGTACTTACCTGCACCCTATAGGGATTAATGAGGTAGAGTACTATTAGACTCTGGCGGATTACCTTTGGTGGTGGAAAGGAGTAGCGAAAGCCAACTTTCTGTTGAACGTATTGCATTGGTTTGAATGCTGTATGTATTCAATGCCTCATATGCCTATGTCCTCATACTGTATGTCAGTCTTATCAAGCAAATTAAAAGCAAGCTAAAACTTATCAGCCTTCTATTTGCTGGTAACGAAGACCAATCGCTATACTTAGTCTCTATGTGGCTGTTGGATGTCGCTAATAATGTCGCTAATAGTATCTGTAAAATGAGCACTCACCACTCGTTTCATGCAAACCAGAAGTATGACATTTAGATTGGATTGTGTCTGCAGGAGAACATAAAGCCAAAAAAGTCACCAGAGATGTTGGAGAAATCAGATAATCCTCATACAGTGTATATTACTGCAGGAGATCCAGGACAAACTAATGTTACCATCCACACCACACACAACGACGCCCCTATTAATCAGGTGAAGAGTAAACTATAGTGACTCTAATCGCAGTTACAATTCATTTCAAATTAACTGATTTGTTTTTTTTAATGATCTGAAGCTGATTTTGTTCTTCTTTATTTCAGAGTTCATCACTCACAGAGAAGAGCAAGCCAGATGCACCAGTCACTATCTACTGTGCCATTCAGCAGCAACCAAAACCCCCCAAAACTGAAGCTGAAAACACTATTTATGCTGTGGTCAGTAAACAGCCAGCCGGGTATGAATCTGCACATCCACAATCAGAATAAAAGTGAGCTTCTTATAAAGCTGAACCCTTACAGTGATTCAAAGTAATAAAGGACTTCATATGTTCAGGAAGGCAGTGTTATTCTCAGTGTAAATAAGCAGAATATTTACCATGTGCAATGTGCTCCCATTGTAGCTGATTTAGGGTGTTAAAGATATTTGTATATGTAAATTCTGTCTTTTTTAAAGCAACAGTAAATGTATTTTTTTTATTGTAAAATTGTTGTACATGTGGCTCAGACAGGAATGCAAAATCACATGCATGTGGTTTCTATAGATTTCTGTTAGAGATTCCTCACCGCCTTTGCAGGCAACACCTGTAAACCACTTCCTGGAAAGTATTTGTCAAACTATAGGAGTTATTTTGAAAGGTCACAGGGGGCGTACATTTACCCATTCACCCCCATCCCTCTGGAAACACACAGTTCCGTATACAAAAAGTAATGAATATGTAATCAGAAATGTACTGTACAAAGCCACTTTGCACTAAAGGAAGTAAAAACTTACTGGGCTCAAGTTCATGTAGTATGTCAGTAACTGATCAGGCATCTGTGTTGACAGCATCAGTGATTATAATAGTATAATTTGCTTTTGATGTGCCACTCATGTCTGGTGTAACCAGGTGTCACTCATTAAGGGCTGGTCACACTACTTTTTGTTATACTGACCTCCATTCATACGGATTTGAATCCAGGAGACAGAAAACACAAGATCATGTCCATTTCGCTGCGTTCCAAAGTTAAAATTTGGTGAACTTCACTCTGCAAATTCATATCATGTGAAGATGTGCGACCAATAGAAGATCCGTGTGGCCTCTTAGCTGAATTAAAAGACCCCAAACTTAAAATCAGCAGGATATAAGTATTGCAGTAAAGTGAAGTAGATTACATATTTTTTACATTTTGAGTGTAATATACAGTATATGTAGAAGTATCTTTTTTTTAAAAGACACTGGAGAGTGTGACATCAACATCATATTACAACCTTTGCAGTGTCCATGCGCAAAGTCTAGTGTGACTGCAGTGTTAAGCAACTAAACGGTATAGGGCGGGGCCTATGGTGCAATGTATAACTATTATTTGATATCATGCTCCGGAGGCAGTGATATGCCAATTTATTTGCCCATGTGACATCACAGATCCCACAATATCCAAGCCTTTTTTGGAGCGTGGTTAAATAAATGTTTGGGGTTTTTTTTAAATAATGAGGAGGACTTTTGGAAGAGGAAGCCATGAAACGTTTAAGACGTTTTAATAGAACAACAATCTCTTATATGTGAAAAGAATGTGAAAAAAAGTGCTTTTTCATGCTGTCATGAACCCTTATGTTGTACTGTTTCTCAATTTGCTTTGGATTTTTGTCTTCAATAATTTATTGCTCTCTTTGTTCGGTTTCTTTTTGTTTTAGCCTGTCATCATGTTTTGAAGCCACTATTCTTGCAGCTTTTTCCATTAAAAAATAAATAAATAATTTATGCAGCTATGTAATTTAGCATTATTGTATGTCTTCTCAAGTGTCTAGGCTACTACAATACATTTAAAGTGCTGTATGTATGTAATATTTTCTATTGCACAAAGGTACCTGAACCATTACAACCCACATATTTACAACCCCTCAGTTTTGTTGGCTTGTACAATATCGTTAAATGAGTGGAACCCACTGTCGTAATTACAGTGGATCTATCTATCTATCTATCTGGTGTGTTTGCAACGTCATTTCGTTCAACTGCAATGCATCTGTGATATATAGTTTGATTATGATGTTTATGAATTAATATAGCCATGTATTTTCAAGCTACACTTCAAAAGTAAATAAATACAGTACTGTTTTATTTATTTTGAAGAAAACGTTATGGAACTAAATTATAAAATATGTTTCTGACACATACAGATCTAAAAATGAGAAAGTGAGATAAAAATGAATGAGCATTGTGTTTCAGATGCAGTGAAAACTCCAGTACTGATTGTAAATTCAAACCGGTCCAGCCCTGACTCCTGTAGCTTTACATGCAATGGAAGTAATAGTATCATCAGCTCTATTTATAATAGCAGCAGCTGTTCTCGAGAGGAAGTGACATCATCTGATCACATTTTAAGACTGAGCTGCAGTGGTGACTCCATCATATGTAACTACAGCAACCCAGTGAGCTGGAAGACTGACACAAAGACAGTTAATGAACTCTGCACTGTTAATCAAGGTACTTCTCCCTTCAGATGAGGAAACAGAAAACTATTGAGAAAACACTGAACTGAAATGCCTGTTGGATTAAAATTCAGTATGGGAAAATTGATTTTCTGATGTTCTTCTTTCATGTCCAGAAAGACAACAAGCTAAAGAAGCATCTTTGCATCTCCTTTGGCTCATTGCCATTTGCATATTCACAAGTGGTGTGTTGGTTTTGGTCAGCAAGAAAAAAAAAGGTATATCATCATAATGAATTTCATTAACATTTCATATTAACTGCAACTAGTGAACATATCAAGAGTATCTCTATGAAAATAAAACTTCACATTTTTATGTCAAATTTTATAATATGGTCAGATAATTTTGGATATTTGTGCTATGATCAGCTGAACTTTTGCGTAGCCCTTTAAAGCATTTCAGCAGTAAGAAAAAAAAATCCAAGCTGTTGGCTAGTTCTAATGTGACATTATTTTCAAACTAGAACAGAAGCTTAAACGCATCATTTTAACTGGATTTGGATCCTGGATTCATATCCTGAATTCATGGCATACAAAAGTAGTTCAACACAAGAGGGTCTTTTGCAGTGTGGCAAATGTGTTTTAAGCTCATAAAGCTTTATGACCTTAAAATACATTTGCCATGCATAATAAATGCATAATGCATAAATGTAAAAGAAATAGCACATTGCTGTTCACAATGGTTCGAGGCAGAGTTCTACATGTCACAGGGCTTGTCAGCTTTTCGTATTAACCACCCAACTTTACCATTTCTGCTTTTAAACCCTCTGGCTCACTAGGCTTCCTTTAGCAATTCATTTACTGTAATTATGCTTCCGGCTTATTTCTCAGTACTGCCACAGGCGATGATTATAGACATACAGTATGGTTGAATTTAACACTGAATATTCCTTTAGAATGTTCCAGATGGAAATAAGAAATATTTAATCGTTTTTGGTATGTAAAAGATAGCTATATCTTGGAAATGTTTTTTTTAAAAGCGTTTTAGAGCAAAAAGTTGATGATATTTGTTCTGTGACTATACACTGAAAATTGTTGTCTTGAAAATTTATGTTCTGTTTTAAACCTCATAGGTGCCAAGCAGAAAGAACAAACTATCTATGCAGAAGTTGACGTAAGTTTCATACTACTATTCTTCATTAACCATTGATACTAATTAAATGGTATCACACTATCTGTTGTCTTTTAAAACAAGCATGCAACATGCTTTGTAACTCTAGGTACAGTTTTTGGTAATAAATCATACAATCTCCGAAGAAAAATTACAAAAGCTGTTACTGGGGCAGTACCCTTTCAAAAGATACTAATATGTACTATTTAGGGACTAATATGAACCTTAAGAAATAGCACATTGCTGTTCACAATGGTTCGAGGCAGAGTTCTACATGTCACAGGGCTTGTCAGCTTTTCGTATTAACCACCCAACTTTACCATTTCTGCTTTTAAACCCTCTGGCTCACTAGGCTTCCTTTAGCAATTCATTTACTGTAATTATGCTTCCGGCTTATTTCTCAGTACTGCCACAGGCGATGATTATAGACATACAGTATGGTTGAATTTAACACTGAATATTCCTTTAGAATGTTCCAGATGGAAATAAGAAATATTTAATCGTTTTTGGTATGTAAAAGATAGCTATATCTTGGAAATGTTTTTTTAAAAGCGTTTTAGAGCAAAAAGTTGATGATATTTGTTCTGTGACTATACACTGAAAATTGTTGTCTTGAAAATTGATGTTCTGTTTTAAACCTCATAGGTGCCAAGCAGAAAGAACAAACTATCTATGCAGAAGTTGACGTAAGTTTCATACTACTATTCTTCATTAACCATTGATACTAATTAAATGGTATCACACTATCTGTTGTCTTTTAAAACAAGCATGCAACATGCTTTGTAACTCTAGGTACAGTTTTTGGTAATAAATCATACAATCTCCGAAGAAAAATTACAAAAGCTGTTACTGGGGCAGTACCCTTTCAAAAGATACTAATATGTACTATTTAGGGACTAATATGAACCTTAAAGGTACTTACCTGCACCCTATAGGGATTAATGAGGTAGAGTACTATTAGACTCTGGCGGATTACCTTTGGTGGTGGAAAGGAGTAGCGAAAGCCAACTTTCTGTTGAACGTATTGCATTGGTTTGAATGCTGTATGTATTCAATGCCTCATATGCCTATGTCCTCATACTGTATGTCAGTCTTATCAAGCAAATTAAAAGCAAGCTAAAACTTATCAGCCTTCTATTTGCTGGTAACGAAGACCAATCGCTATACTTAGTCTCTATGTGGCTGTTGGATGTCGCTAATAATGTCGCTAATAGTATCTGTAAAATGAGCACTCACCACTCGTTTCATGCAAACCAGAAGTATGACATTTAGATTGGATTGTGTCTGCAGGAGAACATAAAGCCAAAAAAGTCACCAGAGATGTTGGAGAAATCAGATAATCCTCATACAGTGTATATTACTGCAGGAGATCCAGGACAAACTAATGTTACCATCCACACCACACACAACGACGCCCCTATTAATCAGGTGAAGAGTAAACTATAGTGACTCTAATCGCAGTTACAATTCATTTCAAATTAACTGATTTGTTTTTTTTAATGATCTGAAGCTGATTTTGTTCTTCTTTATTTCAGAGTTCATCACTCACAGAGAAGAGCAAGCCAGATGCACCAGTCACTATCTACTGTGCCATTCAGCAGCAACCAAAACCCCCCAAAACTGAAGCTGAAAACACTATTTATGCTGTGGTCAGTAAACAGCCAGCCGGGTATGAATCTGCACATCCACAATCAGAATAAAAGTGAGCTTCTTATAAAGCTGAACCCTTACAGTGATTCAAAGTAATAAAGGAC